ACAGGAGGATCACTACAAGTCCGAGCTGCGAAGTATGCCAAATACATAAATGAAAAAAAGTTAAATAATGAAAGGAGTGATCAAAATATAGTGTGTGTATAAATGGGGACAAATTATAAAAAAGACACGCTAAAAATACCCAATAAAACGCTGTAATTAATCCTTCTCAAAATGCTTCCTCTGACTTCAAACACACTTAGCCCATTGTTCTTGGTTCTTTCTGAAGCAGTTCTGGGAGCCCTCTTTTGTTAGTGGCTTTAGGAGTTGTGATGAAATACTGTGAATGCTGTTGCCGAGTGCCGTGTAATAGAAAGGCAGGCTGGCAGGCATTACTGATGTGTTCTCCCTCACTTTATTCTCCAGACATGACGTTTTATGACTTATGGTTCTTCTTCAAAGTAAAAAATGGTACCAAAGAGGCTGGGGAGATAGCTGTGTAAGTGTCTGGGTTCCTTCCCTGGTACCCCATGCTGTGCCGGCTCCCGCCCCCCCACCCCATGTGCTGGCCAAAACTGCGCTTAGTAGCACACGCCTGTAATCCCAGATCACTGGGGAGACTGAGATAGGAGGATCACTACGAGTCGGAGCTGTGTAGTGAGACCCTGTACCAAATACGTTTTTTAAAAAAGGCCCTGAAAGGCAAACTTTTTTTTTTTTCTGTCGTTCTGAGACAGGGTCTAGCTATGTAGTTCAGGCTGGCCTTGAGCTCACGTTGTAACCTGGGCTGGCCTCGAACTCAGTGATCCTCCTGCCTCAGCCTCCCAGTGCTGGGATTACAGATGTATCCCACCACACATGGCCCATATTTTGTTTTCATTTAATTTTCTTTGACAATTGAATGAGCTTCACTAACTTTCCACATAATAATTTTCTATTTTACGTTTTTTGTGGAAGTTTCCCTTTCCTTCATTATGTTTTGCTTATTGATTTCTAGGATCCTTCTTTTTATATATGAAGGATGTGAATTTTGAAGCATGCCTTGCAAATTTTTTGCCAGGTGGTGATTTGCCTCCCAACTTTGTTGTCTCTTTACCCTCACGAGAATATTAGATCTTTGAGGGAAGATCTTTTTGCCTTTTTTATGGGTGCATATTAGTATTATGGAATCATGAGCTTTATGGTGTAATGTACTAGCACAAGCTTGTAGCATATTTTGGTTATTCTCATCCTCATCATACCCTTCTCTCTTTTCTCTCCCTAATTCACACCCCCCCCTTTTCTTTTTGAGACAGAGTCTCACTATGTAGTCCAGGTCGGCCTGGAACATGAGGTAACCCTCCTGCCTCAGCCTCTTGAATGCTGAGGTCACAGGTATGTACCACCATGCCCAGCTCCGTCACCATGTCTAGAAGGCTACCTTCTAGTTTCCTGTCCTCCTGTTTTTCAGTTTAGTTTTTGATTTCTTACAGAAGAGAAAGGATGTGATTTTTAACTTTTTTTTGTCTTTTTGAGACAGGGTCTTGCTGTGCAGTTGAGGCTGCCCTTGAGCTCACTTTGTAGCCCAGGCTGGTCTCAAACTTGAAATGATTCTCATGCCTCAGTCTCCTAAGTGCTGGGATTACAGGCATATGCAACCATGCCCAGCTAGGATATTTTTAAAAGTTCATAAGAAGAAATTATGCAAGTTTAAAATTTAAAAATCTGGGCTGGCTAAATAGTTCAGTGGATTAAAGTGTCTGCAAGCAGGCGCAGGGGCTGGGGATTCCATCCCCAGGCCTGCCATCCCTCCCCATGCACTGAGATGGCAATTGAGATTGCACTTGGTGGTGTGCGCCTGTAATCCCAGCTCTTGGGAGGCTGTAAACAGGTAGATCACTACGAGTCTGATCTAGTAGTGAGACCCTGAACACCCTGTAGACCCTTTCCTAAAATACAAAATAAATAAATAAATAAATAAATTTAAAATCTATGCATTTTTTAAGGACCTAAGGGCGAGAAAGATTTTATTTTATTTTATTTTGCGGAACGAGGGATCGAACTCAGGTCCTTGCGCTTGCCAGGAAAGCACTCATTCCACTGAGCCATCTCCTCAGCCCCTACATTTTATTTTTTGATAGTCATTATATTTGTAGTAATGACATTAAAAATAGTCACCAAGTAATTAAATGTATTAGTGGTTTTCTCATTGCTGAGACCCAATACCTAACACCCACTACTTGAAAGAGGAAGAACTTAATTTAGCTTATTGTTCAGGGGAACTTCATCCTGGCTCGAAGGCAGGAACACCATGGCAGATGGGTGTGGTAGAGCAAAGTTCCATGGTTCATGGGGTCTGGGAAGCGCAGAGAAGGAACAGTGCAAAAGAGGAAGGGGTCAGGGACAAGGAATCCAAGGCCAGGCCTTCATACTCAGAAGTGTGCTTCACTGATCCGCAGGGAGCAATCCAAATCCAATCAAGCGGATACTCCACTGGATCCACTGCATAAGACTTAGTTGTGCTCCTCAAGTGTTTCCTAAGTCATTTACTTGAGGAAATCTTCCTACTCCTGCCACTAGTGGCACTAGTGGGTCCCAGTGTACTTTAGGCTTTCCATGTACAGCCTTGATCCTTCTAAATGGCTCCTCTGAGAAAACCAATGGCAGGGAGAGGGCAATGGATCTTGAGCCTCAAACAATTAAATAATTTATTTAATTGTCATTACTTTTTCTTGAGTTAAGTACAGTTATCATTTCCACTGTAAAAAATTACAGACTGGAGCTCAAACAATTAAGCAACCAGCTTAAGATCACACAGTCCTGCTGACAGAGCTGTGATTCGAGTTGAATTGAATTCTAAGTGTGATTTTAATTATTCCTCCATGTTGGTGCAACTGTTTGTGAGGTAGGAAAGCATGGTCTCACCCTTTTAGGTTCCTTTTGGCAGCTAGATGATTTGTGATTTCAAGCCAGCTCTCAAGCCCTTCCCTTTCCCTGCCCTCAAGGATGACCCTGCTGATAACCTCCAAGATCGTTTGTCTGGACCCTCTGGGCAGCCACTTGCTTTTACAGCCTGGACTGGAGGCTTGGATGACAGCCACAAAGTCTCTACCCTCTCTGGCCTGTTCAACTGCTGCTAATTCTCTGGGGACTGGCCAGAGGATCATGCTTGACAGGGCAAATATCAGACATGAGGCCCAAAGCTGTAGTCCTCAATCTTTCCAAATCCCACTGAGGGAGTATAGGAGAAAGAAAAACATTAGAAAGGAGACATGAAGTCAGAGCTAAAAATTGTACTTTTAGGTGTGAATGGTGATACAACCCTGTAAACGCAGCACTTGAGGGGCTGAGGCAGGAGAATTGCTGTAGGTTCAAGGCCAGCTTGGACTATGTAGTAATATTACATCCCAAAACAAAAATATAAATGAATAAACAGTACTTTTAAGAAGACTTCAACTTTCAGGAGTCAGTTGAAGTTGCCTAAGAGAGCCTTATGTCAACAACCCTTTGGTTTGCTTTAAGACTCCTTCCTGGGCCAGTGAGATAGCTCAGTGGTCTAAAGCACCTGCTTAGGCAAGCTTAGGTAGGCACAGGGGACTGTGGTTCAGTATCCGGCACCACATGCTGGGCCAGCCCCACTTCCCAAAAAAGACTCCTTCCCTACCAGACCCATCACTTAAAGGCCATAATTGGCTTAATTAAAATAGAAATAGCTGGGCATGGTGATTCATGCCTGTAATCCTGGCACTGAGGAGGCTGAGGCAAGAGGATTGCATGTTTGGGGCCAGCCTGAACTATATAGAACCTGTTTCAAAGGAAAAAAAAAACCCTTAAAACAACATTCCCCAAATAAAACAAAACAAAAAAATTCCAAAAAAACCCAAAAACCAAAAGAGTCTAAGAAAGAGACTGACCCTAAAATAAAGGAGATGGTTGAAAGAATCCAATTTTAGTATATGTGCTGCCGAAGCAAGCACGGTTGAAAGAATCCAAAGAATAAATTGCCTATCTGCAAAAGAGCAAAAAAGAAGAAAAAATACTACTCCTTCCTCTGTAATATAGTAGTACCTTTTTTGGTGGGGAGGCCTACTTTTTGCCAGACTTTTTACCCCCTCAAAAAATAATGTTCCCAGTTTCAAATTATAATTTGAAATGAGTACTCTCATTTCTCTGAGCACTCCACACTCTGCTCTTGAGTGCATCTTAAACCTCTATCTAATAAACCCTCTGGCATCTTTCTTTGACACATCCTGAAAATTCTTTTTCCTTGTTGGGAGTCAGTGAACCTGTGGCATGGGTTAAGCTCCTTGTTTCAGCTTCTGGAATCTCTCAGACCCAGCTGTCTGACATGACTGGGCCATAATGAATACCACTGCTCCTGGAAACTCATGGGAAACTGCAGAGGTGAAGACTTTAGCCCCATCCTTTCCATGGAAGCAGCCAGTCAAGCAGCCGCTTCTGAGTTCAGGTGAGCTGGCACTATTGAGCCAGAGGATTAGGGAATGGCAGGCTGGCTGAGCAAGGGACATAACCTGAGCCAAAATGGAGGCTGAGCAGCAGGATGTGACCTGTCAGTCATAGCCCAGTGTATAGGCAGAACAACTTTTGATGGACTGGATCTGGCTGGATATAAAAGGTGGCGGCCAGTGACTTCATAACCACTGTGATCTCGTTGTTCTGTTGTCCTTCGCTTTCTGCAGTAGTCCGTCCTACTTGTGATAGATGTTTACTCTTTTTTTTTTTTTGGTGGAACTGGGGATTGAATTCAGGCCCTTGCACTTGCCAGACATGCACTTATTCTACTGAGCCATTTCTCCGGCCCCTTAGGTATTTATTTCTTCTCTTCTCTTTCTCTTTCTCTTTCTCTT